TTAGTAAGTATGTACTCAATATAATATAGCATTATTGGTATTATATTTTGCAAGATGCTTTCATAGGAACTGCTGCATTCTGTTTTCACTACAACCTTATGAAATAGGCAGAATAGCCTTTTTCAGGCCAATTTTACAAATGAAGAAAGTGAGACCCAAGAGGGAAGATGGTCTGCTCATGATCACATGGTTGACAAGAAGTAGAAGCTGACCAGGAACCCAGGCCTTCACCTAGATTCTGTTGTCCACTCATGACACCAAAGATTCCCAAAGACCAGTTGGCAGGCCAGTGCCAGGCTATGAAGGAATTTTCAATAGTCCTCAAAGACATTAGAAAAATAAAGGCAAGTAGGATGTTCATTTCATAAAGCTAAACTTGATTTAAAAAGCTGTCCTTTAAGAGTATGCCCTTCCTAATTTTATGTAAAAATATTTGTTCCTTTAAGGTGAGAGTTGTTATTTATTTGACACACTAAAAGTTGCCAAACTGACCTTTGTCAATCCCCCAAGTTTTTTGACATTTTACTGGTGTGTAAAACCTAAAAGATTGGGAAGCCCTGACAATACTGTACCAAATCTGTTGAATAAATAAATGAATGGAAGATTTAAGGCAACCAAGAATCATTATCCTACCAACTTACTTAGAACAGGCATCCAAATTAGACATTAAATTGGGGAAAAAATGAATTTGGAATGTCTCCAGTTTCAAACCGGGTCAGCTCATCATATTTGGAAGCAGGGTGGAAGAGGGTGAAAAGGACCTAAAAAGAAAGACCACACTCCAAAATAACTGGATTGAATTTCTCTGAGTAACTAACTATACTTACTTGGGACAACGCTGTTTTGTTTTGTCATTTTCTTTGGTCAGCCTGATCAAATACTCTGCCCATTTAAGGGAAATTGACCTTGGAAACAATGTCCTGGGAGAAATGGCTGCTGATAACATACTTGAAGCACTGAGAGCTGGGAAGACAGGTAGAGTGTTTTCAATTTGTGTTTCCCTCTACCAGTCCTTATCTACGCGTTTCTAAATGCTGTACTACTCACACCAGCTGGGTATCCTACAATTCAACTCAATTCTGACATTATCTACCCAAAGGTAGCATCAGATTCCACAGGTTAAGGGCTCAGTCCCACAAGACCACCCTCTACTTCAGATGTCAATTGCAAGTACAGGTTGTCGCCTGTGCTTCTGACCAACCGGATCCCACATAGGAGGGCCAGTGACACTGCCCTCCACAGCTAAGATGCTGAACAACAGCTCAACCTGGAGCTGGGCTGCCGTGAGTCGCCTGCGACAGCGTAGGCTGCAGCCCCTGTGGCAGAGGGTTGCCATGGGCTACCATGTGTAGCCAGCAGCCAGCGTGAGTGGCCAGCACTCGCAGTGAGCGGCTGTCCAGAAGCCAGCGACTGATCTGCCTC